GGAGAACCTGGCCACCAGGCAGTTCCCTGGGGTTACTCACAGCCTTACCACCCACACCTCCCCCCAGGCTTGCAAGTGCCAGGGCAGGAAGGTAACCGACCTGAGATGGAGGGGCTCTGTGAAGAGGGCCGCCTGACTGGAGCTTAGTCAAGGGTGCATCCAGAGGTCAAGAGGGCCACAAACGTGGTCCACACAGGCCAGTGTTCCAGGAACCAGAGCAAGCTTGGCGGGGCGGCGGGGTTCGCTGTGGGAAGGGAAGAGGTGAGATTGACTTTAGAGGCAAATGGAAGCAGTGAGTTGGTCCTACCCAGGGCAATGAGTGAGGACAGACTTCAAAGATAAGGTAAACTTTAAGAATCTTAACAGCTAAAGCTAGTTTACTGCTCTCTCTAAGCCAAGCACTGCTTTCAGTGCCTTACTCACATAGTACTTTTAATGCTCACGGCAGCCCTGTGAGGTAGGTGGAATTTTAACTCCATTTTGCAGACGAGAAAACCGAGGCATAGAGAAATTAGGGACACCAAGGACACCAAGGACACCACAATGCAAACTCTGGCAGTCTATAACTTAGCTGTGCTCTCACAGCTAAGTCACCAAGGACACCACAATGCAAACTCTGGCAGTCTAGCTCCAGAGCACTCTGGGCTGCAGACGGAGAGCTGATAGGGACTCACCAGGTTCACTCTGGTTTCTGCTTCCCAAGGGGAGGGGCCTGCAAGTTGTTCCTCCCTGCTCAGAACTGGTGAGGCTTTTGATAGGGTACGGAGGGACTGGGAGGTGAAAGGCATTTGGAGGAGCTGTCTTCTAAAAAATCCCAGTGCAGTAGGTGGTCACAGTCACACCTTCGTATGCATGATCCCTAGATTCTGCAGAGTCATCTGGTGCTCTCTCCTGGCTTTGCCAGCACAGCCCTTCAGTGCAGACTGGTGTCTGCCTTTTCTCTCTAGCTGATGGACGGACACCTGCCCTGTCCCTTCCCCACTGTTCCAGTTTCCAGCCCACGTGAAATGCAGGCAGAACAGCTTCCCTCACCATCAGTACTCATTCTAACAGTAACAGCCATCATTTCAAGGGCTTATCATAGGCCAGAAATGTGCTAAGTATTGTATGTGCCCTTTCTCAATCTTCACGGCAAACCTGTGTGGAGAGTCTTATCATCATCCCCATTTTGCACGTGGGGAAACAGAGGCTAAAAGAGTGTAAGTGATGTGGCTAGTGGAACCAGGTCTGAGCTTTTTCACAGAGACCCCACCCCACCAGATACTTGTCAGCAAAGTCTCAAATGCTGTCCCCGTAGTACAGCGCTGGTATTCCCGAGTCCTCCGGGAGGTGTGTGGAAATTCTGTGCTCCGCCTCCTTTGTCTGGGATGGCTGGCCAGCTGACCCAGTCCTACAGTGGGAGGATGAGTTGGGAGGTGGTGGGAGCACAGAGGAGGTTATGTCAGGAAAGTCTTTCCAGAAACAATAGGAAGAAAACTCCAGTCTTTAGGAAAAATAAGTCTAATGTCTTGAGTAGAAAAAGATTTTATAGGTCTGGCCATAGAGCTTGCCTCTGTGGACTTTGCTGCCATCTCCTGATTAGCAAATACATTTATATTTATATTACGTATATTTTATTTATTATACACACACACATGTATATAAAATCCTAAAAATTCTCGATGATTTCTATTAATCTTAAACCCACCATGAGTGCACAGCCTCTGGGAGTTGGCTTCTCGCTGCCTGGCAGACCCCACAGTCATCCTTCAGGTTCCTGCTTAATTCTCATCTCCTCTCTGATGACCCCCTTCCCCATCCTGGAAAATTGTTCTTTCATCATTTGAGCACTTACTATGTCCAAGATACTGGTCTCAATTCCAGGGATCTAGCAACGGACAAAACAAAGAGTCCCTGCCCTCATGGAGCTTATGTTCCAGCAGGGAAGACGGACTATAATCAAGCTACTTAATAACGCAGCGCCAGGAGGGGATGAGGAACTAAGAGACGGTAATAAGGAGTGTTGTGCATAGGTTGTTGTTTTGCAAAGGGACGGTCAAGAAAGCCGCCGTAGGAAGGGGATGTTTGTACAGAGACTTCGAGTGAGACAGAGTTACCCTGTGGACATCTAGGAGGAAGTGACCCAGACAGAAGGAACAGCACGGGTGAGGGCCCCGAAGCAGACCGAAGAAAGAACAAGGAGGCCAGTGCGATGCGGCCAGGAGGAGAGGAAGATCGGGGTGGGCACCAGTCTTGGAGGGTCTTGTCAGCCATTCTAAGGGCTTAGGCTCTTGCTCAGAGAAATTGGAAACCACTAGTGGGATTAATCATACCTTCTCGTAGTACTTCTCTTGTCTTGGTGCATCTGTCACAGAATTAACCCCCTTTATCTCTTTCTCACCCATCTTCCCTTTGAGACATGAATAGCAGGACAGAATCTGATTCATCTCTGTATTCCCTGGGCCCAACAAAGCACTTAGTAAATGTTCGTTGAACTGAACTTGAACCAAATGGCAGGTAACAACTAGCAAGAAGCCTGGGAAACCTGAGCAAAAAGGTCTCATGAGTTGATCTATATGGTGTTTTGGCCCCCATGGGGCTTTTGGCTACTGCCCTAGCAGGCAGAGGCAGTGAAATCCTTTATAGAACCAGGGAATCTCATAGAACAAGGAACTGCAGGAGTTGGGGAGGGGATGCCCACTGCTGCTGGGGCTGCTTGCTGGCTCCCCACAGTGCCTTAGTCTTGCTCCCTAACCAAGGTGTGGCCTTGTTCTGCGCAGGCATGCCTGTCGTCCTGTCGCAAGAGGTGGAGTCTGTTCTTGTGGGCGCTGCTATTCTGGGTGCCTGTGCCTCGGGGGATTTCGCTTCTGTACAGGTATGTGAAGACCAAGGGGTGGGCCGTGGCCCCTCCCCGTCTGAGACTGTCCTTCCTCTTGACAGCAGCTCACATCTTGCATAACACACACAGGATATAATTAAGAAATGATAGGTTCCAGCCAGTGAAAGCACAAATGCTTCTAGCCTCAGACATATTTATTGCAGTTTTTATTTGACTTGGCCTCTGTTAGTGTTGGTTGTTCTGTTTTTCTGTTGATTTTCTTTCTTTCTCCTTTAAAATAGCTCTGAAATGATTTCTTTGACATTTTCCCTTGACCATTTTCCTTTTAGCAAGTGAAACAGGTAAGGTTCAAACTTAAGTTTTTTATGTAAATTTCAGATTTGCATTTGCTTATTTTATTTCCACCCACCATTTTCCAAATACCTTTGAGTCCTCTATCAACAAGAGACACAGATGAAAATGTTAGTAAAAAGGGAATTAAAAAGGAAAATAAGGAACAAAGATATAGGAAGAAGGAAACAACTTGGTGGCTGTGATTGAGTGTACAGTTTGACTCTGAGCTTCCTGGTAGCCAAGACAAAAAGAACACATGATAAGTTGCATAACTCCAATTTTCGAAAAGAGGAAACGTGCTAGTTTCTTGTAGGAGACAGAGCTTTTCCTCCCACCGATTGCAAAAGACATTTCACACATGGGTTTTATGGAGAGACTTACAGGCTTACAGAAAGGTAGAGAAGCAGCCTAGATAGATGTTAAGAGCACAGGCTGCGTGGAATCAGTCTGCCTGGGCTCAGATTTTAGTTTGACTGCCTACTAGCTCTGTGACCTGACCATTCTTCTCTCCGCTCCATTTTTTTATCTAGAATAATAATAAATAGCACATTATGAGTTCTTTCCCTGGATCAGGAATGTACATTTAGTCCCACAACGTTTCTATTATTCCCATTTTATAGTCGAGCAACTTGAGGCATAAGTTTGCCTAAGTTGAAACAGCCAGTAAATGCCTGAACAAAGAAGTCTGGCTCCCAAGTCTCAGCTGAGAGTTCAGGAAATATTTGTTCAGCTAAGCGTCAGAGAATTTAAATGACTTGCCCAAGGTCTCAAGGTCAGGACTACAAGCCAGGTTTCTACCAGTTACTCAGTAATTTACTGAGGCCCTCTTATGTACAAAGAACTATGCCAGGCGCTTTTCATATGATCTTCCTAATACAACAACATACATGGGCAACAGAGATCCAGAAAGGTGACAGAACTTAAGGGTACACTGTTAAAAGCAGACAGATGCAAAAGTCTGATTCTAATGTCTGTGCTCTTTGTACCACATTTGGGGAGGTGTAGTATACTATATACTGCCCAAGCCTCTGGAAATGATGCCTATGAACTATCCCTTCCAAGGATTGAATCCATTCATGAATGTTAGTGGATTTTAACTGAAGTTTTTAAACAAAGATGGTAGAGTTAAATTCTTAACTTCTGGATTTTCTGAAACTGAGAAACATCACAAGGAGATATTTATTTATTGTTGAAATGTCAGTGGCTTACCAATTATTATTCTAACATTATCAACTTATGAAGATTTTTTCACAACTAGATGCTTCGCCCTTTCTGGGACAAACTGTTATTGCTAAAATGAAATAATAGAGATGCTTGCAAAGGCCCTGCATAGGTTACATCACATTATAGACAACGTTTTTGTCCTCTCAAAATTCACATGCTGAATGAAGCCCTAACTTCCAATGTGATAGCATTTGAAGGTGGAGTCTTTCGGAGGTAATTAGGGTTAAATGAGGTCATCAGGATGGATCCTCATGCTGGGTTAGCGCCCTTATGAGAAGAGACACCAGAGAGCTGGTGCACACATGCTCTCTAACTCGCTTACATTCTCTCTCTCTTGCTCTCTGTCTTGCTCTCCCCCTTTCTCTGCCATGTGAGGCACAGCAAAAAGGTGGCCCTTTGCAAGCCAGCAAGAGGGTTCTTACCAGAACCTACCATACTGGCACTTTGATCTTGAACTTTCAACCTCCAGAGCTACAAGATAATAAATTCCTATTATTTAAACGCCCAATCTGTGGTATTTCATTATGACAGCTCAAGCAGACTAAGACACCTCATTTACTTTTGACAGTCTTCCTGCCTGCAAGATAGATGTTTTTATTCTTGTATTATGTATGAGGAAACCAAAGCTCAGAAAGGTTTTCAGTAATTTGCCCAGAATTACAGTTAATAAGGGACAGAAGCAGAATTGGAACCAAGGTTTCTCTGGGTCTGTATCCTATCCCGATTTTCATTCTTTTCTACTTTGTCCTGTTTTTTTCCTTTTATCTTAAAATATTTTTTTGGCTTCTTAAATGTTTAAAGGTTTATTTTTCGAAATGTTATTGGTCACAAATTCAGAGATAGTCTGAAACCCGAACATGTAGAGTAGTATGACAAGATGGGATAGTTCCATCAAAGGCTTCATACCATGACCGATGGCACCTCGTTGATATCTTAGTCAGACTGAAGGAAGTTTCTATCTCCAGGAGGATTCCACTCACAATTCCACATTGACATCTTCATTACATGTGATTTTCTACTAATCTTTTGGAACAGAATCTAAGATATGGTGCATCAAATATTGGCATTGGTGACTTGAATAGCAGCTGTGAGGCACACATCTGAAAGACAAACTCATGTCTCCTATTCAACCCAAGGATATTACCTCTTCTATCTGTTTTGGGGAGATACTGTAACCTAGTAAAGACAGCCCCAGCTGGGAGAGATCTGTGATCTTATCTGTCCTCAAATTCCTGAGAGAATCCATGTGGTATTGACTTCCATGCTTACTTGTTGTATATCCTCAGACAATGCCACCTGGCCTCTCCAGATGCTCCTTTTATTTATTTCCTTTTAAAAAATATTTACAAAGAATTGCCATTCATGTGAAGACTGTTGAGATGAAGAGCCTTTGAAAGCTCTGATGACCTCCATGAGCCCTAGGTATAATTATCAACATTGTTCTAATGATTATGTTTGGAACTGCTTTGGAAATATAAATGCACATAGACTTGGCTTCATTCACCCCTTTCCAGAAAGACCTGGCCAACCTGTGTGCCCTAGGCTTAGGGACCAGCTCAGGGTTGTGGCAAGTGGAGTTGAAACAGAATTGCTTCCTCCCTGTGATTCATAATTTTCAACCTGAACTTCAATTTAGTTTTTTCTTGGAACTTCAGAGATCCTATCTTGGTCTTCAGGGTGTCTGCCACTCCTTTCTTTAAGAAAACTGAGCAATTCTTGCCAGAAGGTCAATGATTCCAGCAAACCAGATGTTTTGTCTTCTAGACCAGGGGTCCCCCACCCCCAGACCGTGGACCAGTACTGGTCCAAGGCCTGTTAGGAACCGGGCCGCCCAGCAGGAGGTGAGTAGCAGGCGAGTGAGCGAAGCTTCATCTCCTTTTGCAGCCACTCCCCAGCACTAGCATCACTGTCTCAGCTCCACCTCAGATCATCAGGCATTAGATTCTCATAGGAGCACCAGTCACTGATGCCAAAAAGGTTGGAGACCACGATTCTAGACCACACATCTGGTGGTTGGATGGATGACTTCACTTCTTATCTAGTTGTGCAGACTTCAGTAGACCAAGCCAGAGTCTTCTCCTCCACTGTGAGGAAAAGTCTAGGAAGACTCCAGAGGACCCAGGCTCCAGACCTAGGGAAGAAGCCTGGGGAGACAGGATTTCCCAGTTTCCTAGGCCCATGAATGGATGTTTTATCAGATGCAGGGAGAGGGACAGTGGATGGAATTTTCTGAAAGCCATTGCTATTCCAAATTTTGAAACCTGCTGACAGTTCCAAACTTCTACTTCCTGTTCTTTTATCTGTTCATAGTCTCATTCTCGTAGTTTCTTTCTTCCCCTTGCCCATTCCAGCAGTGCCTTCCCTTAGACATCTAAAGTCTCCCTACTGTTTTCTTTTTAAATTAGGATCTCACAGAGGGTACTGATATAGCCATCCATCTTCACTAAAGAGTAGAATGATGAATGACATCTTGAATTATCCCTCTCCAGAAATGGTATTCTTGTTTTAGCAGTTTTAAAACTGTGTCTCCAGTAGACAGTTTGACAAGAATCATGTCATGGTCGTCTTTACACTGCAGCTTAATCAATAAAATGGAATCAAACCACAGGTATACCACTGGTAAAACTTCAGCTGTTGAGTAGGTGGGAGGGGATGCAAGGAAGAGAAGCTTCCTCCCTCCTTTTATTGGTGGGAGTATAGAATCCAGACAGTCTTGACCTCTGTGACCCTCTCATCTCTCCCCTTGAAAGTCACCCATCACTCCCTTGGCTATCAATGCACTCCAAAGTTATCTTCTCTAATTCTGAATATCCTGGAAAGCAAAACATTACAATTAGAAGTTGGGAGCATCCCATAATACTTATGTAGGCTCTGGACCCTAGAAAATTAACCAACTGGAAAAAAAAAAGTTTATGAAATAGCAACGTGCTTACATTTTCTAAGCACAAGCAGTAGAGAGGTTCTAAGAAATGTAAAGGAGTCGTAAAACAAGAAACTGGTTTCAAAATGTTGTGAGAAAAAACTCAATCAAATGGCAAAGAAGCAGAAACACAACATGGTTTTCTACTTTGCTGCCTTCAGGCCACTGAGGATATCGTGAGCTTTCTGCCATTTCTTATGAGACAGTTTTTTTTTTTAACAAGACTATACAAAACAAGCTCTAATTCTAATAGTGTTATTTACCTTGACGCCCGCCTCTACCCGACTCCTTTCCCCAAAAAAGCAGTGAAGGGAACATCTGAAACAAAAATCAGCAAAAGAAGACAGTGACAAAAGATTAAAATGAATTCAGCAATCAACTTAAGGCAAGTAACAATGTAAAGAAAATAAGCCCTAGGAATCAACCAATTCATCAAACCTTCCTCCCACGGTGTGAGGGCTGCCGCCTCATAAACCATTGATTCAGTGTGCTCCCACCATCAACTTTTCCTGTCACGTTCCAGACAGACTCCTGTGTCTTGCAGACCAATACATGTAAG